CCGATCAAAGGCGGTGCGACCGGAGGATTCACGTAGATATTGGTCCTGCGTGTAACCAATGTATCGAATCAAGTGATGAGTGTTGGCCGTTGGGGTGTTTTGGATCCAAATTGTAGCTATGGGGGTACAAACTGTTAAAGTATATAAGTGCCTTGAGGTTTTACTAATGGGCTTAAAATGTGGATGTAAGGCCCATTCAAGAAGCCTATTGTGTTTGGAATGAAAATCACAATTTTAAATCTATAATAACATGGATATAGTAGAAGAAAGTATCAAAAACCAACTTTTTTTTTTTTTAAATAACATGTTTGTGTTAAGAATGTCAAAAATAACATATGTGAAATGAGACCATTATGAAATCAAACATAAATCTTGAAATTATATATCTGTTCAAAACCATTTGCATTGTAAAATTGAAAACTTAATCTTTGATTTATAAGCTCTCATTTCAAGTCCTAACTAAATCCAAATCTTAAATTTTTGAGTTTTAAAAATGACGTTTACTAATTAAAATAGAGAAAAAAAAAATGATGATTACCTGGATCGATTGTTGTTAATTCTAGGAGGAGGGCGAGGAGCTGAAGAACGAAACGCTTGACCGCCGATTCTTCCACCGCTTTTAGCCGCAGACGCATCTCCAACTGATCCCAAAGCCAAAACGCTAACCGCTAGAGTCGCGATCGCCAATTTCGCCAGCTGATTCTCATGTTTCCTAATTCAAATAATCATAATTATCAAAACTATTACTAATTGAATAAGAGCAACAAACCCGAACAACAATTTCGTCAAAATTAAAAAATTTACCTGGAAGAATCAGTTTCATCGTCGTGGTTTAAAGATTTACAAGAAATTGAGTTAGGACGAGTGAAGTTAATGTCGGATCTAGCTCTGAAACCTTGTCGGAAACTGAATGAGTTTGAGAGAAAGCTCTGTCTTGACGAAGCTATGGCTGCGAAATACATTTTGTTGTTGTCTCTGTGTAAATGTTCTAAGCTCTTCTTCTCTGTTCTAAAGATCTTTCTTCTACTTCTGGGTTTGTGATAAAGCGATTGCCACGTGGATTATAACTAGTGGTCTAATTAAGAACACAGGTTATCCACGAATTTAGATATCCGGTTATGTATTTAATCGGTTTGAGAAATAATCGAACCGTTTTTCATCGAACCGGACCCCAGTATTTCCCTTGGGGTTGGACCAAGAAGATTAATGTGGGTATATTATTCCATTCGTTTTTTTTTTTTTTTGATTCCATTACTTTATTATATATTCCATAAAACTGTATTGGTATTTTCTTTTTAAATTCAGAATAAATTCCTTTAAGCAATTTTCAAGTGGATGAATTTGGTTAGGTTCATATTGCTACCATGTGAACTTTGAAAAACGAAATTGTGTACTAATTAGTACAAAGAAAAAACTTCGGAATAAGCAATTCAAAATTCGGTATATTTTCAAAAAAATAGTTATGTTTATATTAACCATGCTATAGAATTTCAAAAATTGTATAAACCTGCCATATATATATATGATTATTATTATGTTGTATCTTCAACATAGGACAAATTGAAAACAAAGTTATAATTAAGTCTAAAGTCAGAAAAAAATTAAAAACCCCGGAGTTTAGAGGAATTTAACACACATAACATAGTAAAAACAAAACCTTATTCCTTCCCTTCTTCTAGTAAAATCATCATCATTATCATCTGTTTAAACAGAAGATTATCATCTTCTTCTTTGATCATCTTCTCGTTAAAATTGAGTCGATCTTTTATTAAACCGTGTAGTGACCAGCTGTCTCAATGTCTAGTCCCTTGAGCTTCACCACTGACTCTACATGTCCTTTAAGCGTATGAAGTTCCCTAAGCCTTTAAGCAAAAACAAGAAACCCTAACGTTAACTTCACTCACAAGAAACCCATAGTTTATTTTACTTGTGTACTAGTATAGTATTGATTTATTATACCTTGCGATCTCAGCTCTTCTCTTAGCTTGCTCTGCAATCTCAGACAGTTCTCTGTATCCGCCTTTCTCCGGGAAAACGTTATCCGATTCCTTATTCTGAAGACCGTGTAGAGTCCTCTGCGCATGAGCCCATTGTGCTTCCCTCTCCTCTATTCCATAGTTTTGCTTAGTCGTAAACGCCGTCTGCCGATGGGTTCTTGGTTTTAAAATCACCTCTAG